TTAAATTCAACAAATGGACGGACAAATATTTGGATGGCCGTAAACATACATACATATGTACCTATGAAATGGTTGGCCAAGTGACTGACAAGCGGTTGGATGCTGCTCATGAGTTCTCGATTGCTTGGTATGGTCTGGAATGGGATGTGTGCGTGCGTATGCTTGGATGTGCACACATACATAGTACATACCACGAAGTAGATACATATTTGTGTAGGATAACAATCTACCCTACTTGATTTGATCTTTTCTCGGGCCAACCGAACGTGAGGCTTAGCTGCTCTTCTCTTGGACTGCTGCTGCGCTACACTGTCGATCTTTATTATTATTGTAATTATTTCTGATACCGAGTACTAGTATGCGTGTGTGCCTTTCTCGATGCGTGCGTTTTGCACAAAATCATCAGGGAATTACGTAGAGGAAATGAGGCACAAAGTGTGTACTACAAGGCTAACAGAGCAAAAAAAGTATGCATAGAATTTAACATGAACTAAAGGGATCGCTATGTACGTTCCGGGAAGTATACATACCAACGTGGCTGCTCAAACCATAAAGGAGAGAATACTTAAAACACTTTATTGCCATTATTGGTAGAGCACTGCTGCGCAGTGATTTAGACTTTTCTTGGCATGTATGTATGTAGGGCACTGAGTTTTGATTATTTTTTTTTGTGAGTAGATACTGGCGGTAAGACATACAGCTACCGATTTTACAATGCTGACCTCTGCAGCAATCTTTTCCCCACTTAACACGTCCAGCATTTGTGCCGGCTAAGCATCACGATCGCCGACCTTAGCCAGCAGACATTGACCACGACCCAACCCAAAGTTATATTCCCCATACCTCATTGGCCAAGAGAATGATGAGCGTTAACTAGCAGGCCGAACTCCTTCCTTCCCATAATCGATCCCGTCTTACGGTAAAAATTACGACGAAAGAAGTTCTGTCCCACTTCTCCGGGCAATACAGAAAGGAGAATTCTGAGTGGTAAGGGTTATAATCCGAAGGCCGCCTATGCAGAAAGAAGTTCTTATTTATTTATGTATTTATTTAAACGCCAATCGGCTTTGTACATAACTAAATTGTTGACTAAACAAGTAATAACAAACGTGTGTGGTTGGTCGCTTTAACAGAAAAAACAAAACGGAATGAAATGACATTGCAATGTAACATATAATTCAGAGAAATTTACATTCGGTGCATGTTGGTTGACAAGGTTCGCTATCCTGTTGTACGGACCAAAGGCGACGTAGTTTCTATTTGCCTGCACAACATCTAGTAGCCTTCTAGTTCGGAGATCGGCTCTAGAGGTAATAAATCTGAACTGCTCCAGTATTTCTGGTGAGTCAATCAGGCCATTGACGACTTTGTAAAAGAACGATAGATCCGTCATTTGCCTTCTGCTACATAGAGTTTTAATATTGTTCCTGAGATATACATCATTGACGTTCATATTGCTTTCGTCGCGCGAGTTATACAGCAAAAACTTGCAGAACTTTCGTTGAACCTTTTCAACATTGTTAGTTTGTTGTTCGGTATATGGTGCCCAGGCAATGGAACCATATTCAAGTATTGGTTGGACGAAGGTCGAGAAAAGTCTGAGGAGGGTTTTTACATCCTTGAATTCCTTGCCAAATCTGCAAACAAATCCCAGAGCACGGCATGCACGTAAAGCTATGTGGTTGATGTGATCTGAGAAAGACAGTTTATCGTCAATCATCACTCCCAAGTCCTTTATGGTACTGACTGTACACGTTGGCCGCACAGATAATAGTTGGCGGGCATTCGATTGTGACGTCTCATGACAGCACACTTTTTTATGTTCAGATGCAATTTATTCATCACACACCACTCTTCTAGTTCAGAGATATCCTCCTGAAGAGCCTTCATGTCGTGATTGTTACCTATTGCTCTGAATAGTTTCATATCATCGGCATATAACAAGTACTCGGATTTAAGATTCACACCTATGTCGTTTATAAATATGCTGAACAGAACTGGTCCCAGATGAGATCCTTGTGGTACACCAGATATAACATCAAACTCATTTGACAGATGACAATTGGCACGGACTTGCAGACGTCTGCCAGATAAATACGAGCGAAGCCAGTCTAATGCTCTTGATCGTACACCATAACTATTTACTTTTCGTAGCATTTCATGATCAACCATGTCAAATGCCTTGCTAAAGTCAGTGTATAAGGAGTGTACGTCTAGTCCGTTATTCATTGCATTAAGTATGTAGCTGATGTAGAGATATAGATTGGTAGAGGTGGATCTCCCACCAAAGAATCCATGCTGCTTGGAGATTATCACATTTTTAAAAGCAGAGGTTAATTGAGGCAAGACGATTTTTTCTAGTAATTTAGCGAGTGAAGATTGGATGCATATAGGTCTATAGTTGTTCACCTGAGCTTTATCACCCGATTTATGTATAGGGCTTATGTATGATAACTTCCACGTCGAGGGAAAATTACCTGTTTGAAGCGATTTGCTGAAGATATGTGTGATTGGCTCACAGAGACCAACAGCACAGTTTCTTAAAAAGATGTTTGGTATATGATCAGGTCCAGCGCCTTTGTTGATATTTAAAAGAGTTAGCTGAGGAAATACATATGTCTCTCTTTCTCCGGCAACCCATAATCCACGTAATTTTACCGTAGATCTACGGTAATTTTTACCGTGGATCTACGGTAAAAGTCACCGTGGCGCGTGTGTGTAGACCCTGCCTAATAAAAAGGCGCTTACTTTTACAAAATTTTACTGTTACATGGTGAAACCGTTTGTGTTACACAAAAAAAACAGGGACAATTTTTTCAAACCCTACCATGAATTGAGTACTATTTTAAAACACGGTTACTTTCAAAGTAACAGTGACACTGTGCGA